TAAATTGCTCCTGGCCTTGTACATAAACACTGCAGTCTTATAGCCCACTAAATCAAAAATTTTTTAGCAATTTAGACTGTATGAAAGCTCCAATGGTGTGATCCCTATACCCCATCTTATGCACAATTCTTATCGCTCTTTTTTGTAATGTATACAATGGTTGAAGTGAGTTTGTGTATGTATTTCCCCAGTTTTCAACGCCATACTCTAAGTATGGTAGAATCAATGAGGAATACAAAATGCGTAATGCTTTCCCATCCAAAATATATTTCACTGCCAATATCGATATATTTTTTGCTAATTTATTCTGAACATATCTAATATGCGATTTCCAGGAGAATTTGTCATCAACTATGACACCTAGAAATTTAATTTCATGTACTCGTTCTATTTTAGCTCCCCCAATATTCAATTGAATTTCATTGTCTAATCTGCGATTCCCAAATACCATAAATTTAGTTTTATCCAAATTCAGAGATACTATATTACTGTCACACCATTTCTTAATTTTCTCAAGTTCCTGTGTAACCCATCCAGATAGCTGCTGTAGGTTTTCACCCGATGCCCATATGGTAGTGTCATCAGCAAACAAAACCACTTTCACAAAATCAGAAACCTTACATATATCATTAATATATAGTATAAATAATTTAGGTCCCAAAACAGAACCCTGAGGCACTCCACATACAATGTCCAGCTCACTCGATTGGTATTCACCCAACTTCACAAATTGACGCCTCTGTGTCAAGTAACTTCTAATCCAATTCAAAACCAATTCTCTGATCCCATATTTTTCTAACTTATCCATCAATAACTCATGATTGATTGTGTCAAATGCTTTTTTTAGGTCAATAAATATTCCTATCATGTATTTCCTCTCATCCATAGCACTTGTTATGCCCTCCATTAGGTCAGTAATGGCCAGAGATGTCGATCGGTTCGACCTAAACCATATTGGCAATCAGAGAGGATTTTATGTCTATCAATAAATGTGTCTAATCTGTTATTAAAGAGTTTTTCCAAGATTTTTGAAAATTTTGACAGAGAAACGGTCTATAATTTGTGAAGTTGTGCTTATCCCCAGATTTATACAGTGGAATAACCTTTGCTATTTTCATATTATTGGGGAACTGCCCAAGTCGAAACGACATGTTAAAAACATGGGTTAATAGTTTGCATATCCCCTCAATTGCCCATTTAACCATTATCATAGTGATACCATCACTATCACTGGATGATTTGTTACCACATTTGTTCACTATCTCTATAATTTTCTTTTCAACTATGGGCTTCAGAAACATAGAACACATATTCCTTTCAATTGTATTGTTATTTATATTGACGTCTGTACAAATGGTACTTGCTAAGCCAGGACCCACATTCACAAAAACCTATTAAACTTCTCATCTACATCGTCAAATCTGTTGACCAGTGTATCATTGTCCATAAAATATGGAGGGTAATTACTCCTGCTGGTACTGTTTCTAATCAATTTATTTAATATATTCCAAGTACCTTTCATGTTATTTTTATTATCCTCTAATACTTTAGAGTAATATTGTTTCTTACATATCCTCAATAACGCTGTTAATTTGTTCTTATATAACTTATATTTTTCTTCCGCTTTCTTGGATCTGTCCGCAATGAATTCTTTATATAACGCATTCTTATTTTTACATGCATTCTGTAATCCCTTACTCATCCATGGTTTCCCACTGTAATTCCTTTTGTTTTTATACTGCTTACGAGGACAGTTCCTGTCATATACTTTCTT